CTGGGCTTTCCGACTCATTTCCCTCTCCAGAAAACACGCTGATGCCTCCTGTGGGAGTAGTTTGTATGCCTTGTGAGTAAGTGCTCATTCGCATGCGGCTGGGCCGGGCCGGTCGACGTGGGACGCCTTGTGGCACGGATCGCCGCGCTGTCAAACTGTTTCCTCCAGCCGTCGTCACATAGCGCTAACTCAGAGGCAGCCCTCCCATAGCAAGATTCGTCCGTGAGGTTATTGACGCGCATTATCCGGTTACCCCACAAACGTGCTAATACAGAGTCACGGTCAAACAAGAATTCGCGTGTACCGTATGCCTGTAGAGACGTAGCGAGAAGGCAAGCAGGCATCAGTAATCGTGGACGTGATCACGGTGGTCTAAGATAAGATCTATAAGATTGAATCAAGCGCGCGCTAACTACATAGGCGCAGGAAATTCTTACCTCACGATACAAAGCCCTGGCAACCAGTCCACAGCCTTTCCAGTCACGGGCCCCCACCACTGTTACATCAACTCTCAACTTATTGCATGAAGTGCGCTTATCAATGCCCGTCTTCAGATAGACATACGCAAACTCCAGCGCGCTTCGCCGACAGTCTCGTTCTTTGCACTCAAACTTGAAGGGTACATTGACATCACAAGGCTACAACGGGTATAATCTCTATGCATCTGCAAACTTCGGTCCGACCATGAGCACTCGCAATCACTATCCTCTCCAAGCCTCGGCAATCACACACGCCAAACCCACCAGACCACAAACCGCGCTGGGTATGAACAGTTGCACACAGCGCCGTCGCCCGATTCGGTACGTAGACTCCTCGCAAGTAGATGCCGCGAGGGCGACAAACAACGACACGGTGAGCGCGTATACGAGGCCGATCGCGCTGAACACGCGCGATAGGATGCGCATAGTGGCTTGGACCGTTGAAACGGAGATGGCGAAGTCGAGCGAAAGGATCGCGACATTGAGTGTGATAACTCCACCCATCTGTACGAGCCCGTCACGTCTCAGGACAGGGTGGTATGAGGTATAATGGTAGAGGAGACTGACGATTGTCAGGAAGACAGAAAGACTCAGACCCGGACTCGGCGTGCTCCTGGTCGAGAGTCCCGACTCAAGATCTTGACGCTTAGTACTCGCGATCTGGCTCGTTGCTCCCCATTCAGGCGTCGAGCAAGGTTTCATGCACTACGGAAAGATGTAGTATGAGCATGAGTATCAATATAGAAAAGACATACAGCTCCAGACTTACGTCGTCCAGAGAGTGGCACTTCAGGTCGATCGTGGTCTGATCGCCTCTCGACGGTACGAGCTTTGCGTATGCGGGCGGAGACAGACCCTGATTGTGACAGCAAGAGAGACATATGCTGATCAGCGAATTGCTCCATGCAAAGGTGCTATTGAGTAGCTCACCGCCGTTTCGTCGGAGTCCGAGTCTCGCTGGACGCCTCCGCCAAAGCCCGCGTTCGACACGCACGAGTCGTTCAGTGGCGCGTCACTGACCTCCGTGTCGGATCCTGTCGAGCGTGCGGACTGGCTTTGAAGCTGGTTTTGAGCGTCGACCGGCACGGAAGGCTCGAGGCCAGGTGGAGAAGGGCGACGCATTGCCGTTTGAGCGGGAAGTGTGGGTTTGCCCATGAGGGATATGCAGAGTGTATGCGTCAAGACTTGGGATATATGAGCAAGGGAGGGTAGGGCCAAGGGAGGATAGGGCGGATGAGGAACATGGCGTCTGTATGCGCGAGCTTTAAAAGGCCGCGGTCCTTGCTCAAGATGTTGCATGTTCGCCTTGAACTTAGACTGAGGCGCCCACCTGGTATCATCGTCGGTGGTATTGACTACATGTCAGACCCGGGCATAGCCTTGGCCAAATCCAAGGTTCTCCGAGGGACTTGAGAAGCCCGGGCTGGGATGTCATTTGGGCGCCGATATCATCGAGGAGACGATTCTAGTGAACAACTCATCCTGTCTCAGAAGTCCCTCCCTCAGAAGTCCCTCCCTCAGAAGTTCCTCCTCAGAAGTTCCTCCTCAGAAGTTCTCCGACAGACAACGCTTCTCGTGATGGGATGGCGGCTGTCAGGGCCAATTTCGAAGAAGGGCGCGATTCGACATCGCCTCAGATCCTCCCACAAGGCTGTTGAGTCTACAGGATCCGATCAGGTCAATTCGACGGGCCATCGTGGGTGTAAGAGATGAGAACCTCATATGTAGAACACTGGAGATAGCGATCTACTGGCACATAGAGTATGCCAGGGTAGATCGTTGTAGCATCTGCCTATTGCTTGTGTCACCGAGGCCGTAGACGAGCTACGAATCAATCACAAAAGGCACGTACAGAGTCACTCGGAGCGCAGAAGCTGGCATCGAGGCAATTGCGCGGCGCAGCGAGTATATGCTTGTAGGTACTCGTTGAGTCGGTCTGCCATACCGATTCCGACTTGAACCCGCCCGGGCGCGGACATGGACGCTCCGATACTGAATATGCTGGTTTCCGCAGATCCCGGAGTGCGGACGGTACTCCACGGTACTGAAGGAAGTGACGCTTCACATGTGATCTGGCCCCGAGTAGTGAGACCGAACACCGGGTGTTAAGATCGAGGACGGGCATGAGGCAGGGGCAGTATAGTCTTCAATCCCACGGCTCATTCGTCTGTTGAGCGGAAGACTAGCGTCACAACGATCCTCGGGAGGCGGTGTGATGTGTGGGAGCGGTGCATACACGGTGTGCATATCCAGCCTAGCGAGAAGCTACTCGTCTCTGGTAGAGTGCCTGTACTTTCGGGGTCCAAGTGCACTGGAGAGAGTAGCCTGCCTCGAGTGCGGGTTCTCGGTAGAATGTGGATTTGATGTGATGGCCTATGACGGAGAATCGAGTAGAGCAAGCACAGCATCGGGCATCGCGGCAGCCGGCTGCGTGTCGAAAGATCGCGGCGAAGAGTGCATTGCAGTTCGCTGCTGCTCCTACAACGGCGGTCGTATGAGTGAGCGATCTGAACCGATTTCGCTAAAGATACGTGTCATGCACTCTACCACCGTGACGACTGCGCTGATGGGGCCGTCACAATCTCGCTCCCTGCTCGTCCCCTGGACCGTTTTCGCTCGGTGAAGCTCTCAGCTGCGCACACGACCAGTGTGTGTCCCGGGGCAAAGAGCACGCGGCGGATACGGGTAGAGGGAGCGAGGAAGGACGGCGCGCATGTAAGTCCTCACGTCACCTGTGCGCAGTGTCACGGCCGCGTCACAGTGGTAGAATTCGCATGGCACATACTCTATGTGTTTCAGAGGTAACTTACACTCGGTCGCGGTCATGCGGAGGAACCATGGTGGTATGGCAAAAGTGGATACGCGAAGCGCAACGTCGGGCTACACGAGCGCAATGCATCGCTTCCATCTTGCGACGGCCATGCTTCCCGAAGACCCATCGGATGTACAAGGCTGATAGCAAGGATACGCGTGTGTGAATGGACGCCTCAGTAGGCGCGCGCAAAGCGGGGTACGGTTTGTGTCTCCACTGATGGTCGGTGAACAACGTCCATCGAAGTCTATCTCAGGGCTACGAACATGCTGCACGTGTAGATCAGTCGGATGCACAAGGCTTGGTAGCAAGGATAGGCGTGTGTAAATGGACACCTCGATAGGCGCACGCGCAAAACGGGTATGGTCGGTGAACAACGCCCATCGAAGTCTATCTCAGGGCGACGAACATGTTGCACGTGTAGATCAGTCGGATGTACAAGGCTCGATAGCAAGGATAGGCGTGTGTAAATGGACACCTCGATACACTGTATCTTCACTGATGGTCGGTGAACGGCGCCCATCGACGTCTATCTCACGGCTACGAACATGCTGCACGTGTAGATCCATCGAGTTACGTAGCACACAAGGATCCGCTTGTGAGTCGTGAACTTCGTCGTGTGCGAGGAGCACCTGCAGCCGCAGAACGGGCGATTCCGCTATCGGTTGGCATCAGTGACGAATATCGAGTTCAACACTATTATCCTCGCATCATGACCTACCTGTACACAAGACCTCGGAGCAGAGAGATGCTGCCAACTGTTCCGGCGGTATTTCTCTGACCCGAAGAGCGACGGTAGAGAATCCTGAGGGCTCCAACTGCGTCGAGGACGCAGTGATGGTTCAGCATCAATGGGTTGGCGACGGGTTTGTTGTCCAACTAGACTAGACCAGCACTTGACACCTCGGTCGGCTCGTGAGCGCACGAAGTAAATGGCAAAGGAGTTCGACTGGGAGGGCGATCCGTTGCCGAACCATACCCGCTGAACTGCTGGGTGCTTGATGCGGCACGGCTCAAAGCAGTCCCAGCTCTGTCTGTGTAGCGCCTTCGAAGACGAGTGCGCAAAATATCCGTATTGAGCGTGAGTGCAGTAAAAAGACACACCCGCGTACACTCCCTGGCGGGGAGTCGAACCCCGCTCTCCCGCGCACTCGAAAGCACTGGCGCTTGTCTTGACAAGCGGGTGTACTAGCCGATATACTACCAGGGATGGTAGGTTCGCAAGGTGAGACATCCAGCACCAGTAGCACCATCATCTTAAGGTCTCGACAAAGATATAGTGAGCGACCTAGGGGTGAGTGGGCAGACGACGTAGACTTCAAGCTTCAAGAGTGAAGGCGGGAGACAGTGGACAATGCGCGGGCGTGTGTATTGTGTGGCACGCGCGCGATAAGACCCGAGACACGCGTCAGCGGCGAGGCCACCGACTCCAACGAGTAGTCAAGCATTCGCAGCTCATCGTCCCATTCAGCGCGTACGCACAGCGATCCAACTCCATTCGCAGCGTAGACCAAACAGCACAGAAGATGGCGGTCGAAGCGCAAGAAGCGCCGCAAGCGCGGGAACCCCGCACGTGCGGTTCGAGCGCCTGCGCCAATGCGCGCTCGCAGCATTGTCCGTCCCCGCCTCGTGCCTCCGCCCACAAACCACGGCCAATCGATGGAGAACCGCGCGCTCTCACCGCAACGCCCATCAGCACGCAAACAGGCCATGCGCGCGGCATCGTCGCCTTTGAAACCTCTGCGCGCGACACTGCAGAATCAGGGCCTGTTGACGCCCCAGGGCACGTTTGAGGATATGACTTCGAATATGGATGTCGATGGGGACCCGGCAAAGACGCTGATTAGTCCTCCTCCCGAATCTCAGACTGTGAGTACTTTTACATTATTACATGCGAGCGACAAGTGCTGAATGGGCCATGCAGACCGCACGCCGCGCAGGCTCAGCGCCGGTCGAACGACCCAAGCGCAAACGCGCCCAGACGTCGCTCGCGCGCGTCAGCGAAGACGAGCACTCCGACCACGGCGAGCCCTCCTTCCATACCCCGCGCCCCCGCCGCAAACCGCGCAAACACCCGCGCCCCTCCCCGCCCCTCGAAGCGTCTGCCTCTCCAACACCCACACCCGACATCGATGACGACGCAGGCCCGTCAACGACGACAACCACACTGCTATCACCGCACGCGACGAACCCCGAGGCGGACTATATCCCGCCCGTACCCGCCACGGCCCTATCGCGCGCTGCGATACGGCGCGCGAGGAGCAGCACGCCCGGCCGCGGGTACTCGCCCCCGCGCGAGCGCTTCACGCCTCCGCGCGTCATCATCGCCACGCCCTCCCCAACCAAGCCCACATCCACGACTTCCCGCGCAGCCAAGGCCCGACCGAGTGCCCTGACCATCAAGAAAGAGCCGCCCGAGATCGACCTGAGTAAGCCTGCGCCGCCGCCCAGCCCAAGCGACGACCCGATCCTGCTGCGTGCGCGCCGGCGCGCACGCAAAGCCGCGAGCGAGGAGCCTACGCCTGGGAGCAAGAAGTCTAGGTCGCGGTCGGGGCACGTGAGGCGGGCGTCGGACGAGGGCGTGGAGAGCGAGAGGAAGGTGGACGAGGAGAGGGCGGACGCGCGGGATTATTTTATGCCGAGGGAGGTCGAGAGGGTCGAGGAGGATGTTGAAGAAGAAGATGAGGATGATGATGAGGGGGAGGAGGTGATGGTGTATCGCGCGCCATCGTTCGAGCCGGAGCCGGTATACGATGAGCCTGCGCCACCACGCGCGGCGTCTATCGATGTCCCGGCTACACCCGCACACGCCCCGTCCGACTCCAACATCGCAGACGACGCAGAAGAAGAACCCCCGCTCTCCTACACAGGCCGCTTCACCCAAACGCGCATCCCCACAGCCGCAGACCCGCCCACCAGCACGACCCGCGCCCGCCGCGAACGCTGGGGCCGCCCCGTCAGCCCCTTCCCCAAGAAACACCCGCTCGGCCGCTTACCCGAGGGCGAGGACGAGGACGAGGACGGCGGCGAGAGGGGCGAGGTGCCGCACTTTGAAGACGACGAGCAGGGGGAGGAGGATATGGAGCTCGACGAGACGAGCTTCGCGCGCGAGCGGGTGGGCGTGCTGGAGGATGATGATCCGATTCCGCCTGAGCCTGCGCACGTTGAGGAGGAGGAAGACGATATGGAGTCGATGTACGCCGACCCGCCTGCGCCTGCGCGCGCACCTACGCCGCCGCGGCGTCATGCGCCAGTAGCAGAAACGCCTGCCTTGCCTACGCGCACCGAACCGCTCGAGGCGGTCAAGAGCGCGCCCATGGCGTCTGACATGCCGCGCAGCCCGCTTTTACCCTCGAGAAGCGCGGGCAGCGCGCGAAGTCCGTGGCTTAGCCTTGCGAGCGCTAGTGGGACTCAGAGCTCGAATGCGAATGCTCAAGGATCGTCGGATTCGGGGTACGATTCGAGGTCCCCGGAGGACGTTGAAGCGCCTGTTGTCTCGGGATCGACTGGCACATCTACGACTACGACTACGACTACGACTACTCAACCACACGCATCCAGCTCGGGCTCTACATCTACGTCGGAGCGTACGACGCTCATGGCCCCACCCCGCCGCGTCCCCTCGCCCTCCAAGCCCATCCCCCCCGCCTCCTCTTCCTCACCCGCACCATCTTCAGGGTCCACCGCATCCCCCCGCCCACCCCGACGCGTCGCCCTCGCCGAAAAACCGCCCGTCTACAGCCCGCTCGTCGCGCGCCTCTCATCGGGCGCCGCCGGGTCGACACCGAGGAAGAGTGCGCTGGAGGGCCTGGCGAAGAGGCGGGGCGTGCGGGAGCTCGTCGAGCAGCATGCGAGCGAGGGCGTTAGGGAGAGGCTGTGGAGCTGGGATGTGCCGGCTCCGGGCGAGAGGGTGGGGGAGGTGCCGGCTACACCCTCTGGGACGAACGCGTCGGAAGCGTATACATCTGCGCTCGAGAGGTCGAGTATGGGAGCTGGACCTTCGACATTGAGTTCGATGCCGCCCCCTGCTACCCCGCTCTCAACTCGCGAACAAGTCCACCTCGATGAACCGGAGACCCCCACGCCGGAATATGCGACGCCGACACCTGCTCCGCGGCCCATCTCTACTCAAGCGCCGCGCGCTGGCCCGTCGACGGCGACGTCTGTATCGAGCCTCGCGCGTCGGTTCTCTCTTTCGCCCGATACATCCGCTCCCGCTCCCACTACACCTCCTGCCGCGGTCAGTTTCAAAGGCAAAGAGAAAGAACTGTTCGTCGTGCCCGCGGTGCTGGATAAGGGCAAGGGCAAGGAAGAGACGAGGACTGCGAACGAGAAAGGAGTGGGGAAGGGCGGGAAGCTGAAGTCGATCTTGAAGAAGCCTTCGCGGGCGAGTGTTGCGGAGAGGGAGCAGGACGAGAGGGACGAGGCTGTTGTGGATGTGTTGTTGACGCCGCAGAAGGGGGTGGCGGAGGGGGGTGTGCGGTTCCGGGTGCGTTTTCCCTTCTCCGCTATTGATACCTTTATCTGATTAACGGTTATAGCAGGACGAAGATGACGTGGAAGAAGATATGGAGGAAGACGAGGAGGAGATGGATGAGGAAGAGGAAGACGTTGAGGTTCAAGACGCAGATGCGGACAGTGACGATGGAGACAGCTCAGACCCCGGCGAGGGCGACGCGTCCGTCATCAAGATCGTCAGCGACGACCCCTGGCAAGCCGCGCGCGCCGCCGCCATCCTTAAACAAGTCCGTCCCCACCCCCTCACCATTATCTCTTCTATAGCATACTGACAACGCTCGCAGCACGAATACGACCTCATCCCCTTCGCCCCCCGCCGCCGCCGCCTCGACCTCCAAACGCTCTTCAAACGCACGAACCGCGCCATGCTCTCCTCCTCCGGCATCTCAAAGTCCAAGTTCAAATCCAAGTCCGAATCAAAGCCGGTGCGCGAACTGCGCGGTGTGGTATTAGACGGAACAGTCGTAACGCCCGGCTCGCCCGCCCCCTTGCGAACCCGCGAAGACCTCTTCGCCGACGCCGACCGCTCCCTCTCCCATCTCTCCCATCTCTCCCATCATGACGCTGCGCCTACTCCGGTGGACGCGTACCGCACGCCGTCGCCTTCTCTGTCGGTTTCCTCGAGTGTGGACGGGCGCACGGAGATCGATACGGCCGGCCCGCGGCCCTGGGCGCGCGCAGATTGGAAGTTGCTCGACGCGTGTATAACGGACGAGCGGATGGCGCTGTCCGCTACGCCCGGCGCGCTGGCGGACGTGGACGCTGTGGATCTCGACGCTGTTGTAGGGCGGTTCGTCGCGTTCTTCGAGCATTCCTCAAACTCCTCTTCGTCTGGTGGATATACGGCGGAGTTGAAGGCTGTGGAAAAGAAGGGGCTGGAGCGGATGGGCGCAGGATGGACCGTCGAAGAGATGTTAGCGCGCGCACGCGCACTGTTGAAGAAACATCGCGCCGGGACGCCCGCGCCGCCTACGCCTGAAGGGAGCCGGCGGGCGTCGCCGGTCGTGCCGGATTTTACGCCGGTTAAGTTGCCCGCGCCGGCGTTCGAGGGGCGTAAGGGGCTAGGGCTGAATGTAGGAGGGAGTGGAGAGGGGAGGGGGAAGGCGGCGATGGGGATGAAGATGCCCGGTGTGCTGGGCGCGCCGCGGTATGCGCATTTGTTGAGCGAGGCGAGGAGTATTGCGGCGCCGCCGAGGAGGGTCGTTGAGGTTGAGAAGGAGCGAGAGGCGGACGAGTCGGTGGATATGTCCAGAGACGCGTCTATGGATCTCTCGACGGATATATCGATGAGCGAGGAGTCCGAGGCGCGCCCGGTCCTCGACGGATCGACATCTTCGTCGGCCTCTTCGTCCACGGGCGACGACTCCCACTCCCAAGACGCCAGCACCTCCGACACCTCCCTCTCCTCCTCGACCGGCCGCCTCCCGCCATACCTCAAAGACGCGCCCTCGCCCTCCCTCGGCGCGCGCGTCAAGTCGTTCTTCTCGCTCTCGTCCTACCTCCCGCGCACACCCGCCCCGTCCAAGTCTGCGCCGAACACAGACACCAGCAGAGCGCTCCCGCCGCCGCCCGAGCCGCGTTCGCGCGGCCCGATCATCACGCCCATCTCAAAGCCCATACCCGCGCCCGCGCACCCGAAGGACCTCGTCGAGCTCGACCACGTCCCCACGCCCGCTCCCGCGCAACCGTCCCGCATCCCCATCCCCAAACGCCTAGTCGATCTGCGGCACGTAGAGCCCGAGCCAAGAATGGAGAAGAAGTTGTACGAAGGTCCGCCGGCGGGGCTGAAGAAGCGCGGGAGCGTGCAGGATCTGGTGGGGCTGTTTGAGAGCGTGCAGGATGTTGAGGAGAGGAGGGTTAGGGAGGGGCGGGAGGAGAGGTTTGGGAGGGGGCTGGGCGTGGGCAAGTTGGGGGTTGAGAGGGCTTGGAAGCCGTGAGCCTGTCGTCAGTCGGTGTTATGATCTTGGCGTGATATATGTCTGGATGGATCTACGTATGATGTTTACGAGTCTGTTTTCGTTCTTCTTGTTTGCGTCGCGCGTGCGCACGCGTTTCTTGTGTATATGTGTCTCTTGGGCTTATGTTCGTTTATTGTGTCGCACAGTTTACCTACCGCTACCTCTCCCTCATGAGTCTGAATCGGCCGTTGTTCGTTGCTCTCTACTATGCACATTTCGGATACTGTTTGTTTGTCTGTTCTGTCGCAGTCTACTTATGCACAAACTATGAATGGGTTACATGCTTTCTCGATATCGCGCGCCAGACATGAGTCGGCTGTAAGTTCATTCTGAGGCTTGGGGTACATGGGAGTTATTGGCGACAATACCGGCTGATTCGAGGGGATAATCAGCGTGTAATAAATATACTGGATAAAGAAATACATCCC